GGTTTTGTAGAATTCTGTTGTGGATCTGGTCCTGGCTTTACTTTCTTGGGAGACTCTTTACTACTGATTCAGTTTCATTGCTCATTATAGATTTAAATTGCATAAATCCACTTGGTTCAATTTCAGTAGGCCGTCTGTGTCTAGAAACATACCCATTTCATATAGATTTTCCAATTTATTGAAACATACTTTTTCAAAAATTCCTTAGTAATCATTAGATTACTTGGACTTCATTAGTATCTGTTGTAATATCCCTCCTCCCTTCACCACTACTTTTATTAATTTGGGTGTTCTGCCTCTTAATTAGTTTAGCTAAAGGTTTATGAATCTCGCTAATCTTTTCAAACCAGCTCTTTGTTCATTGATTCTTTGTATTGCTCTTTCAGTATCTATTTCATTGATTTCTGCCCTGATCTTTATTATTTCTTCTCATCTACTAATTTTAGAGTTCACTTTTTCTTGTTTTTCTAAGACCTTGAGGAACACTGGTAGGCTATTCGGAGTTTTTAGAACTAAAAATTCCCTTCCCTCTTAGAATTGCCTTTGCTGTATTCCACAGGTTCTGGTATGCTGTATTTTCATTTTGACTTAATTCTGTAATTTTTCTTTTTTCTTCTTTTGTATTATTGTGCTGGGTTGGGGAACATTTATCATACTTGAATTCACCCCTTCCACCATTCTCCTAATTCTGTGATTTTTAATTTTTCTTCCTGATTACTTCAATGACCCACTGATCATTCAAAAATACATTGTTCAATCTGCATATGTTTTTGTAGTTTCTTTTGCTATTGATGTCTAATTTCATTCCTTTATGACCTGATATTTTAATTTTAATTAAATTATTTTAATTTATTAAATTATTTTAATTTTCTTGTATTTGCTAAAACTTGCTTTATGGGCCAAAAGTGATCTATTTTGAGGAAATTTCTGTGGGATGCTGGGACGAATGTGTATTCCACAGCTGTTGGATGCAATATTCTGTAGATGTCTGTTAAACTCTCTTGGTCTTTGTTGATATTTTTGTCTTGATGATCTATTTGTTGATGAGAGTGGGATATTGAAGTCACACCCTATCATCATATCTAGAGCTATCTGTTCCTTTATGTCTAGGAGTGCTTGTCTTGTGAAATTAGATGCACCAGTGTTTGGTGAATATAAATTTAAAATTGCTATAACTTCTTGACAGATTTTTTTCTTTTTACTAATATATAGTGACCCTCTTTATCTCTTCTGACTCTTTTTGGCCACAAATTTATTTTCCAAAAATGAGTGGAGCTAATCCTGTTTGCTTTTGGCTTCCATTTGTTTGTATATGTTTTTTGTTTTTTCACTTTCAGTTTGTGTGTGACTTTGCCAGTGAGGTGTGTCTCTTGCACACAAGTAGCTGGATCTTGTTTTACATCAAGCCAGCCAACCTGCATCTTTTAATTGGCCATTTACATTTAAGGTTATTTAGAAGTGTTTGCTGATTCCTGTAATTTTTTTGGTTTTTTGTTATGTTGACTTCATCACTGTTTGTTCTTTTCTTTCACCCTTTTTCCTCTTAGGAGGATGTTGGTTTATTGAATTGAACATGATTCTTTCCTAATTCTCTTGTATTTATCTATTTCTCTCATGAAATTTATTCTTTATTGAGATTTGGTGTTTGTGACTATCTTTCTCCCTCCTTTGTGTGTAGGATCTCTTTAAGTATCTTTTGCAATGCTGGCTTAGTGATTCTGTATTATTTCAGTTTATGCTTATCTTGGAAATTTGTCATTTTTCCATTGATTTTAGGGGATAACTTTGTTCTCAGAGCTTGAATTATGTCATTCCATGTTTTCCTGGCTTTTAGGGTTTCTGCTGAGAGGTCTGATATAATTCTGATGTTTTTACCTTTGTAAATAACTTGGCATTCTTCCATTATAATGCTTTTAAAATCCTTTCTTGTTTATAGCCATGGCACTTTAACTGTAATGTGGCATACAGAGGTTCTTTTCTGGTCTAGTCATTTGGGTTTCTAAATGCTTCCTGTATTTATATGTCCATATCTTTCCCTAGATTTGGGGAATTTTCTGCTATAATTTTATTGAATAGTGTCCAAGTCTTTGGTTGTATCTCAGTTCTTTCTTCTACCCCATGATTCATAGTTTTGGTCTCATTAACATGTCATAGAGTTATTGAAATTTGTGTTCATGCATTTGTATTTTATTTTTTTCTTTATTGCTAACTGAATGTATAATTCTCTCAACCTTGGCTTCATTTTCTGATGTTATTTATTCTGCTTGCTCTAGTTTATAGGTGATGCTTTTATTTGGTTCATTGAGTGTTTCATTTCCAACATTTCCATTTTTTTTCTAGAATCTCAATATCCTTGATGACTTGTTTATTTAGGTCTTGAATTGACTTCCTTTCTTCATTCAGCAGTTTGTTTGAATCCTCTTTGAGATCATTGATTATTTTTTAAAGTAGATCTTTGGATTCTGTATCTGGCTTTTCAACCAGTTCACTATCACTCAATTCAATTATAAAGGAGTTACGAGTTTTTGGAGAAGTCATATTGCCTTGGTTTTTCATATTTCTTCTGTTTCTACATTATAATTTGTGCATATATTGGAATGGATGTCTATGTTTTATTTATGTAGTTAGGTAGTTCTTTGGAGACTTCTTAGTGGAAAGACTTCTTTTAGGGTCACTATCACTACTATTATTCATTGGAGACAAAGCAGGCAGCAGTAACAAAAAAAATTCAAGAACATACCAGATATTTAAATGTAGCACAAAGCAACTGAAAATATCCACTATACCCCTAATAAGTTTAGAAAATAAAGTAGAATATTTATAGGAGTCACTAGAATTTAAAAATTATTAGATCTGGAGTTATTAATAATTAAATACTAAAAAAGAAGGAAGGACTGAGGAAGGAAAAATGAGAGTAGTAGCAAAGGGAGAAAATAATATGATATGAAGTATAGAAAATACTAGAATAATGATAAGAGAAGTAATATAAGTATGGCAATAGAAAAAAATGGACAGAAGAGAAGGAAAAGAACAAACAGCAACTACAATAAACCAATAACTATAAAATATAAATAAGTCAGGCACCGGTCGCTTACACCTATAATCCTAGCTATGTAGGAGGCAGAGATCAGAAGGATCAGGTTTGAAGCCAGATTGGGCAAATGGTTCACAAGACCCTACCTCAAAATTACCAAACACAAAAATGGCTGGTGGAGTGACTCAAGGTGTAGACTCTGAGTTCAAACCCTGGAACCACAGTAAATAAATAAATTAAATTAAATAAACACCAGTGAAAATTTCTTCCTTTCTGAGGGGCTCTAGGTGTGACTCAAGTGGTAGAGCACCTGGTGAAGCACTCAGTTCAAAAGACTTCTTCCTTGCTGACAAAAAGAGGGTAAACTTCCCCCAGCCTTTTATTTTCAGTTTTGTTTTGTGGGGGGCAGCTTTTTTGTTTGTTTGTTTTGATTTTTCATCTCTAAACTTATAATAACTTCAAGCAGAGGAGACTGTTTACAGGCTGAGCCCTGCTGAGTTGAATTCAGGACAGTGTTTACCTTCAAGCAGGCCTGCTGATGCAGGAAATGCAGTGTCTACCTTCAAACTGTTGCTGTCAGCTTGGCTTGAGGACCCCCTACCCCAGGTTGAAAGTCTCCCAGGACCCAAGACTCTCTGTCTGTGTTGGTTTCTCGTGAGAAATTCCCAAGCAGTGGCTTCTGTTCACCAACCTCTCTGGACCTCTGGAAGTGTGCAAGGCAGTCAAGACGAAGCAGTTTTCCCTGGCAGAACATGTGACTCCAAATGATCTTGAGTGCCCTCAGGTCACAATTCTCTGTCTTAGCACCCTGGTTCATATTCACAGAGAGTGGTGCCTCTTCTTTTATCTGAGTTCAGTCTGTGTTGTAGCTTCACCTCTATGACTACCACAGGAATCCTCACCAGCAGCTCAGCTGCTATTGTTTTGGTGTTTTAGTCCATTGGCTCTGCAGCTGGGCTCCAGCTTGCACTTCCCACCAAAGTAGTTTGTGTTGTTGAATCTGAAACCAAGTCACATCCAGTCTCCTGGATCCACACTGATTCTCAGAATGGTCATTGCTTAGGCAGTGGAAGGGATAAGCCTTTGGAGTTTGAAAAAAATAAAAAGCAAGCAGACTATATTTCTCTCCCCAACCAAGAGAGTTGACGATTGCTTCCCCTGCATTATTCCCCTCTACTTTACCAGTGAGCAAGCTAGGAAAGTCAAGGGATTCTTCACTTCCATCTGCTTGCTGAGCAGAATGTAGATCTCCTATCTTGAATTTTATTTTATTTTTATTTATTAGTTTATATATTTTTGCGGTACTAGAGTTTGAACTCATGGACTTGTGCTAAATTTTACTTTTGTAGAGTACCAGCTGGTGTGCATCTGTAGATCTTTCTGAGGTTTGCCTTTTCTCCTTTGCTTGTAGCCCACTCAGAGGGAGTCTCTCTCTTCCCTATCATTTCACCCAGAGCTCTGTGTTAGGGATTTTAAAGTTTCATTTGTAATTCTAAAATTCACTATTTCTTGATTTCATTTGGTTTCTAGCTATCTGCTGCTTACTGTTTTCCTCCCTTGTCTTTCCCTGTCACTCTTTTCCTCCAAGCCACAAACTTCAGAGTTCAGGAGACACCTGAAAGTGTATCATTATTTTAGAGTGTACTCCTACCTATAAAAAAGTTTACTTGTAAAACAGTACTCTAGCAGCCACCTGCAACACTCATGTTTGCCATTTCTCATGATTGCATCACTTACGTTTTGACTGATTTAATTTTGTGTTGGTTCTAGGAGCAATAGGCTATAACCTATATAAACCATGTATCCTACGTCCATATAGCAGACTATATCTATAGTAGGCTATACCATCTAAGTTGTATTAAGTACGCTCTATAATATTTTCACAACCTTGACATCACCTAATGATGCATTTATCAGAACTATTGTTAAAGGATGCATAACTGAATTTGCCTTTTTTCCTCTTCAGAAATAGCAGACAAAATCTACAATCTTTTCAATGGCTATACCAGTGGGAAGGAACAACAGACTGCCTACAACACTCTTCTGGATCTGGGTTCCCCCACCTTACACCGAGTCCTCTACCACTATAACCAGCACTATGAAAGTTTTGGAGAGTTCACCTGGAGGTGTGAGGATGAATTAGGCCCCAGGTAATCAATAAACTGCATTGTCTGTTTTTAAAGTCTCTGAAATTCCATACCTCTTGCATTGCAATACTGTTTCCTGGAAGTTGCAGGGATTTCCTAGCTGAACCTAGGTGCTCATAGAAATAAGTCCTCTACTTTAGACAACTTGGGTCATGAAGATTTGTTTTGGAGAAGCTCCTTTTAAGCAGTTGAATCAGGAATGCCTTCCCTAAATTCTGAAAAAAATCTTTGCCCTTTATTTGCCTTACCCCCTTTATCATGATGACCCAGAATTCCAGATGCTAAAACTGTAGGGGCCAAAGCCTCAGTCTTGTGGAAAGGAATTAGAGATTTTATTAAGGAGTTTATCTAGGAATATTTATTGCACATAAACTTTGCATATGTTATTTATATTATACAGACATGTTCATTGAGTTAAATTCCACATTTGTCTGGACAGCAACATGATAGTGGCTGAAGACCCTCTTTGCCATCTATTTTGGCCTAAGTTAAGATGATATAATCCTTACCAACTTCCTTCGCCTCAAGGTTGCAACTTCCTAACATTAAAAATACCCATGGCTTTAAGGTTGCATATCCAGGGAGAGTTCCTGGAAGGCAGGAAATGAGAAGAATTTGTGGAGCTGTTACTTGTTTTTTGTTCCATTCATCATAACCATATATTTGTGCCTTGAGAAAGAGACTGCCTGCAATTTCTTGAGTTTTACATAGACATGATAAAGAAGAGTTTTACATGGAAAATTGGGACCAATGCATCACCAAGTTAGATGCATGAAGAAAAGATAAAAATAGGAAAAAAAGATTTTAAAATGCATGAAAAAAAGATAAAAAAACTATCAGAAAAGGAAGAAAAAAAGTGAAAGAGAAAGAAAAGAGAGAAAAAAATAAAGAAAAAGGTACGAAGGAAGGGAAGGTGAGAAGAGAAAGTTAGGAATTTCAATTCTGTAGTCCCAACTGGAATTCTTGCTCTTTTGCCAATAAGGTTGAACCAAAGTGTCACCCAGAAGTCATCTCATCCATCTGACCATTGCAGGGAGAGAGCTCAGTAAGCCTATTATGACCTGCAATTATAAACCTTTCTAAAAGTTGTTTAGAACATTTCTCCCGTGTTTTCTTACTTTTGAAGGAATAAGGAAGTTTAGGTAGACGTCTTGAATACTTATATGCATAAGGTCAGCAGGATTGATCTTTTTATATTCCATAAATTATCGCTTGATGTTTGTAAAGGATGATAATCCTTAGGCAAACAAGGCCAGTGCTATGGACTCTAAAGAAATATGTAAGGACAGTTAATTTGTTTTGACTTGGTTTTGGTAAAAAACAAACCTTGGGTTAGAAAAGTAGATAGCTATTGAAAAATGTCCTCTCAACTCCATTCCCTATTTCTACTCCTGACCTTATTATTGCCAACACCTATGTAAGTAGTATCAGTCCTTTATCTATCAATCTCCCCCCTCCAAATGTCCTCCCCTCCTCTCTGCTCCCACTACCTTCCTTTACTCCCTTTGCTCCTTTCTTGTGATATTTATTGAGTGTACATATACATATTTTGTTAGGGAGCACAAATGCCACAATTTGAATAGCACTAACATTTCATATTTCATCTTGATTTCTAAGGGCATTTGAAGTTCTTTCAAAAATTCTCTTTCGTGACTCAAGAGCTAGCAAGAAAATTGGTTAGTGAAGAACACGAGAAGGGGAGGAAATGTGGGTCTCTCTGGGAATTACTGTTCTGTACCTTCTCCTCCCCAGACACTCTGCCCAAGGGCTCTTTCATGTGTAATATTGGTCCTTCACAGAGTGGAAAACATTGTGCTGTTCATTAGCCCGTGGAAACTAAAGTTTTGCTAATTTTTAGTGTCATGGATTTCAGGAAGAACCACAGGAAAGGAAAAGTACACTGCCTTGAGGGACATCAACCCACTTTGGGGTTAGTTGTGAGAATGAATAAAAATGGGTCTGACGATATGTGCTTTCTGTGAGCAAGCAGAAAGAATTCTCTCAGTTCAATCTAATTCTATTAAAACTTGTGGAGGCCTCCAGATTGAGTTGAGATGCAAATATTTTGAGAACAGCAACAATGGTTACACTGTTACTAAGAAAGAAGGCTCCAGGCTCTGAAATGGTCAAGGACAGACCCAGACTAATTATTTTAAACAACAAAAAGGCAGGGTGACTCATGCCTGTAATCCCAGTTTCTCAGTAGTCAGGGATTTGGAGGGTCACAGTTCGAAGCCTGTGAAAAAGTTAGCAAGACTTCATCTCAACAAATAGTCCTGGTATGGTGGTGGCACACCTGTCATCCCATTTATGTGGGAGGCTGTAGATAGGAGAACTGAGGTTCTGATCAGTCTCCACAAAAATGGGAGACTCTACTTGAAAAAATAACTAAAGCAAGAAAGGGCTGAGGCATGGCTTGGGAGGTAGAGTGGTTGGCTAACAAACATGAGGTCTGAGTTTAAACCCCAGTACCAGCAAAACAAAATCATGAGCAATGAAATCAGCAAAACAGACTCCCTGGGCTAATTCAATTCACTTTTTTGAAAGACTGCTGGGATGTGGTCCTTCACCCATATCTTGAAGCTGATGAGATGCTGCCTCACTCTTCTTTTCTCTACCTCTCATTATGTCAGTAGCTAATGGCATACAACAGGATTGATTAAAAGGAAGGGCCACCAAAGGTCCTTGTTGGTGACATTTTTTGGAAAACCTGCCTGGCCAAACTGCGGAAGATGATAGGGAACGTACAGCTCATCTGCCTGAGATGCTATTTAGTCAACAAGTGATTGTTTGATTTCCTTTGCCCACTATTGACATGACTTTCCCTTCAGTGACATCACACACTCTTAGCCCTTGACTCTGTTGTTGGAGTTCAGCCCTTTCCTCCAGCATCATCTCCACCTCTTTCACATGCCCTCTTAAGAATTCAAAGACATCATCTCTTGGGGATGCTCTCACTGTCAGCCAACAAAGCAGAGGAAATGAATTGGATGTGGTTATTGTTCTTTGAAAGCTTGTTATAAATGGAGTGCAGAAAAGTTCCTGTTTCTGGAAGGAATTATTGATTGAACCAGAAGGAGATGGTTCCTCACATAAGAAATTAGCCCGGCAGTCAGCAAATGTTTCAAGTAATATTGTTCATTGAACTTTTCAGTCAGCATTTCACAACCTCACACGAGCTCATTCAAATAAGAGAATTGTCCTTCATGGGTCTCTGGTCACTTAGGTCTTTGAAGAATAAAGAGAAAAAACAGTCAAGTGAAAGGATCTTCTTCACTCATCCTAAGTGCTCAAAGACAGCAAGGTCAGAGAACTGGTTTTCAGGTAGCCTTTATCTCTGACGTCAGAAGTGGGCATCAGGAAGAAGTGGGTAAATAGGTAAGGCATGGTAATAGCCCATTTCCTCCTCAGGTTGTGTGCCTGAGGCTCTCACACTGTGTTCTTGGCCCTGAGGAATCACTTCTTTCAATATGCATTAACTTGGGACAACCTTACTCTCTTCCCTCCATTTCTCTTTCAGAGATCTGCATTGACTTAGGTGTGCTCTCACCCTCTCTTTTCCTCATTCTTTGGATTGGGGCTTAATGGCAATGGCCTTTTGACTTTCTGAGAGAGATGAGAGAATAGGGCATGAGCCATTCCCTGGGGGTTAATTAGGTAGCATGTACAAGTGAGAGTCTGCTCTTTTCCTGTGTCAGTGTAAATGAGGGCACTATTGTCCTCACCCCTACTACACTATAATTACCTTAAACACAGGTATAATTTGGGGATACATTTGGTATCCCCTTTAATGTAATATATTGGCTACTTTTATCAATTCACATGTAGCCTTAAAAGGAGAAATAACCAGTCAAGCATATTACTTGTCATTTAGTGATGATAAATTACTGGCTTTAAAGAACATTGATTTGATTGGTCTTTTAGAATTGCCAACTTTTATTATTTTAAAAGGTGTGTGGCCCTACAAAAATATTATTTTCTCTTTATTTTTTTCCTATGGCATTGTGCCTCTTTATTTCTTTTAGTGCCTGCCCCTCTTTGCACAACCACACATTCATTCATTCATTCATTCATTCACTGAACAGATATTTATGGAGGATCTGCTACACTAAGTGTGAAAGATAGAATAGTCAGCAAACACAGCCCAGACTCTACTCTCTTGAGGTTTAGAGTCTCGCTCTAATCATGGCTCTTTATCCTTCCTGACCTTCTCGTCTTCTTAATATACCTACCCTCCATGCTTGATCATAGGAAAGCCGGCCTCATCCTTTCCCAGCTTGGGGATCTCAGCAGTTGGTGCAACGGACTCCTTCAGGAACCCAAGATAAGCTTGCGGCGCATCGCACTCAAGTACCTGGGCTGCCGCTACAGTGAGATTAAGCCCTATGGACTTGACTGGTCAGAGCTCAGCCGGGACCTCAGAAAGACCTGTGAGGAGCAGACCCTGAGCATCCCCTACAATGACTACGGGGACAGCAAAGACATCTAGCACCATGAGGCCAGTGAATGGCTGCCAAAATAAAGCAGGAGAGAAGAGGGGAACATCTGGGTCGGTTTGTGGATTTTTAACATTTTTTAATGGAACATAAAAAAGCTCCAAAGGCACCATCTAAACCAGGGAGAAAATGATCTTTGCTCCCCATAGAACTTCAATATGACATTCTCCATCTGCATGATTGGTAAACTCTTCAGCCAGTGGCTTCATGCAGCACCACTTTTCCTTAGTGGATTACTTTGGGGCTCATTTTGGCATTTATTTGTTTCATTCATTTTTTTTTTTTTCCTTCAAGAGGTTCGTCAAAATGCTCAAGAGCTCTGTCATGCTTCCCATGAAAGGTCTACAGGTCGAGGCATCTGTGCTCAATAAATTCCTGAGTCCATTGCACCTGGGGACAGAGGGGAAGCCAGAAAGCTCCACCTGCCTCGTGCCTCACCTCAGGCATTCCTTAAGAAATACCTGACTCTGGAAGCCTAAGCCCAGTGCCCAGAGAAAGACAATGAGAAAATTGTCCAGTCC